TGCATTCCGAATGAGTGGTAGAATCAAAATATGACTATTCAAAAGTGCTTGTAATGAGTTTATTTGAATAAAGATTATTTCTATTTCTAAAAAACTTCATGCTATAAAATGGTATGGAGGATGTAGTTATTTTCTAGTAATCGTTCAGTTTCTATTCGGAGACCTTGCGGCGCCCCTCACCCAAGAGCGTTAGGTTTTTTTTTATTTAATAATGGGATTACGCTTGGTCTTACCTCATCTGGTGGTAAATGATGGCAAGACCTAGGACAGGGTAGGCAAACCTTTATGCATCAACGTGCCATTTTGTCCAAAAAATTTTTAATAGGGTCATTGACGTGCCATTAAATAATTTTGACTTTCTGATTATTTGGAAAATAATAATAAATACTATCAAAATTCTCTATGAAATAAAGTAAACAAGAGAGGTACATACTGTTTTCATTACACGCATAAATTAAATTACTGTAAAATTGGTGTGACTTCTGTTGCTGCAGGTTAGATGACAAATAATTTATGTCAGGCTTGTACGATGTTACTTTTAGCAAAATGCATGCTGAACTGGATTCATACGGTTTCTAACCGAGGTTTTAATGTTATTCATCTCTGAAAATAATGACTCGCAGGCATAGGTAGGTGGAAATATTGTTACAATAGCATAAGGCAGCTTCTTCAAACAGTTTTATGATTGACGACGTGCCCAAAATATTGTGTCGCGAGCCTACCCTGAGTCCTTTTTTTTTACTTGTAGAATATTCCTCATGGAGACCCGCCGGCCCCGGGGGAAGCCCGACCCTGAGCCCTAGCGCAACCTAGTTGTAGCGCGCTTATTCTTCGACTAATCGAAATTTTGCCGTAAATATTTAAGTTCTGCTCTACACTGTTTGCTCTATTATTACAGTTACTCTATGTAAGTTTCGTTATTTTTTTAAAAATTCATTATAATTCCAATGACATGTACTTTTTTTAAAATTTCTATTCTGTCTAGGATTGTTCATCTGAATGAGCTAAAGACAGGACCTTCTTTAGTGACATAGGCTTTTTCAGTTATGGGTAATTTTAAAATAAACTTGTTTAAAGAAAATCTGACTACTGTAATACAATCATATTTGTTGTCTTATAATGTGGATAAAATTTAATTTCTATGAATGATATGAATATAATATTTGTTAATATTATAACTGGCTACTCGCCTCGGCTTCGCATTTATTATATATACAAACCTTACTCTTCAATCACTCTATCTATTAAAGTAACCGCTTCAAAATACGTTGCGTAGTTTCAAAGATTTAAGCATACATAGGGACAGACAGCGACAGCGACTTTGTTTTATACTATGTAGTGATGATTCTCTCTAGAACTGAACATTTGGCAGGCAGACGAGAAAGTCGAAGCTAAAGTGCTAATTCACTGGCGCTTAATTATCGAAGATTTCACATCAACCGCCTTGTTTAGCGCACATGAGAGAGAGAAATGTTCAGAAAATTAATTGACGTTGTTTTTATACAAAAGCATTCATATAAAGTTGTAGAAACACGATAAATAGATTCTTAAGTGATTGTTACATGATTTTCTATAGACATATTTATTTATTTATTTATTTTATTTATTTTGTACACATTACATCGATGGTTGTAGACAAGACAATTAACAGCAATCCCTGCACTAAGCTCAGGGCTTGTGTCGCAGGAATCAGAAATCCTTAATTACAAAAACATTAACTTAAAACAGGCTCCAGTTCAACGAGGTACAAAATTAACTAATATTATATCGGTACTTTTTTTTTTTTTTTACAAAGAATAATAATAACTAAAATAAAGGTAAAGTTTGGGTGTAGGCTGGGTAGGTATATGAGCGTGCGTTTGTGCGTGTTGTGTGTGTGTGTGTGTGTGTGTGTGTGCGTGTGTGTGTGTGTGTGTGTGTGTGTGTGTGCGTATACAAAGGGAAGTTTGTGGGCGTGTGCTTTTGTATAGAATCATCGACTACAGATTAGTTAGAATCAGCTCTGTGTCATTATAGGACAAAGACATTAACCACTTTGACACGATATCTTTTAGTTTTTTAGTAGGGAGATCTTTAATATCCAAAAGAAATTGGCAAACTTTATTATAAATATACGGACGCAGGTAAACAGCTTGGTGTTTCATAAAGGTAGTGTTAATTATTGGTACTGGTACACGATATACGCGGCGCCGGACGAGACGACTGAAATCAGTGGAGTTGACAACTTCATCATGCATTGATAATGTTGCTTTTAAAATGTATATTTGTCGTACTGTAAGTACTTTGCTCTCTTTAAATAGTTCTTCAGTGGGGAATCTAAAAGGTTTTTGTAACAGAACTTTAATGACTGCGCGTTGAGCTCTTTCAAGTGTAATCAGTTTTGTTTTGGTAGCCCCACCCCATGCTAAAATGCAATAGTACAGTAGTGATTGCGTTAGCGCCTTGTATACCATGACGAGAATTTCATAGTCCACGCAATTCCTTAATGCTTTGTAAATATAAATGGATTGTCGTATTTTGTTAGATATATATGCCATGTGTTTCTCAAACGTCAGCCTTTCATCCAGCAGCACACCCAGATAACGAATAGAAGTTGTATTCTCGATCATTTTACAAGAACACTGACGGTTGCCACCAGAGTTACATGTATGAATAATTAAGGGAAGCATTGATAGTGGTTTTGATGCGGTTGTCTTATAAAAGGCTAAATATTTAGATTTAGCTACATTAAGGGTAAGCAAATTTCTCTGTAACCATTTAGCCATCGTTCCCATGCCTGTCTCAGCCGCATCAATCAATCTACTCCAAGTCTTCTCCCGAAAAATGATAACTGTATCATCGGCATAACAGAAAATTTCTGCATTCAGTATCGGTAGTTCCAAGATGTCATCCATATAAATACAAAACAATGTAGGTCCAAGAATACTGCCTTGCGGCACGCCTACATCTATTTTACGCAGGTCGCTTGTTGTTGAATCTATTTTCAAACATTGATAGCGATTTGTGAGATAGCTATAGAACCAATCCAAAGACGTACCCCGCACGCCCTTGGTCTCAAGTTTGCTTAAAAGGATGGGCACGGATACGGTATCGAAAGCCTTGGACAAATCAAGGAAAACGCCCAAACAACAAAGATTGCTATCCAATGACTCCGACACTACACTGACCAGTGATAGTAGGGCATCTTCTGTAGATTTTCCACTCCGGAAACCAAATTGTCTATCAGAAAGTAAGCTGTTTTTATTCAAGAAACTGATAAGACGTTTGTTTACGATTTTCTCCAAAAGTTTAGAAAGTGTACTCAAAAGCGAAATAGGTCTGTAATTGCTAGGGACTGATTTATCACCGTCTTTGTGTATGGGAGAAACAGCAGCAATTTTCCAACATTGGGGAAAAATTCCAGAGAGGAGACTAAGGTTAAAAATGTGTGTCAAAGGACCAACAACAAACTTTTTGATTTGTTTTAACAGGTATGGAGTATAGCCATCGATACCTGGGGCACTATTGGGTTTGAGAAGATCAATATGCTTAGCTATTTCATACGGATCGGTTGGATGAAGAAAGAATGAGCATCCATCTTTAGGTACTTTTTTTGAATAGATATCTGAAGCCAACGCCGCCTCCGACTTGTTGAGCATGGTTAAAGTTTCATCAGCCAATTTTCTACCGATTTGAGAAAAGTATTCATTACAGTAATTGAGGGAAGAAATAGGGTCTTTTTGGATTTTTGTCAATGCAATTGGAGATACATGAGTAGAAGGCATATTACATATTTTCTTTATTGATGTCCATAATTTCCTGGAGTTGTTTTGATTCTCTCTTAAAATTTTGGTTTCATATTCTGTTTTAAGGCGTTTTTGTAAGTTGAACAAGAAATTGCGGTATCTTTTGTATGTTACTTGGCATATAGGATCATCAGGATTTTTCTTACTCAGCTGGTGGAGTTTATCACGGTTTTTTTGACATTTTATTAGGCCTGGAGTAATCCATGGTTTTCGAATGAAATGCCTTCGTTTTATGACAGATATTCGAGTATGTTTATTAATCACGAAATTTAAAGTTTCGTAAAATTGTTTAACGGCATCATTAGGGTCATTCGCCTCGTAAATTGAACCCCAATCAACAGACTGAACGTCGCTAACAATGGCTGGCATATCCATTGTAAATTTAGTCAGATTCGATGTGTTTACACTGTCTTTATTGGGACCAGTCATAGCCAGAAGACACATATCATGGTCTGTTATGCTGTTTCCACAGACTATTCCGACACTGGTTGATTTGTCTCTTACAAAAATATGATCCAAACAAGCATTAGCCCGCGTCGGCTTTGTAATAGCGCAAAGAAGTTGGTGACTGGCTAGCATACATAGATATTCGAGACATTGCTCGCTTGGAGAATCATCGGTTATGTTTATATTAATGTCACCTGCAAGAATTATACATTGACGTTCGCCGATATCCAGTAAAGTGCTATCCAAAAAGGCTATAAAGTTATCTAAGTTTTTGAATGATGGGGATCTGTATATGCCCAGTATTGTGATTTCTCTATTTATAGATATTTGAAGGCAATTACACTCTGTAAAGCACGGTTCTTTCGCTGAGCTACTCCATTTATTTTTAATAAAAGCAACAACCCCACCGCTCTTGTTGACATATTTTTTTGTATAAAACGACACATATCCCGGAATCTGTGGAATATAAGGGTCTTTGCTTAGCCAACACTCAGACATAAGAATTGCATCTGGGAGGATTTCCAACCTATTTAAAGAAACTAAAAATTCATCAAAGTTGCGCTGTATACTTCTTATATTAAGACTTAAGACCAGAAAACTGGTGTCTGATGGTAGCACCGCAGTACAGAGCTCTAACTTCTCCAGAGAAAGACATTTTATCGACAGTGTTTTATTAATGTCTTCGTAAAAAACAAGCATTAGAGGTTTTTTTTTTCTTTTTATGGAAGAATCTGAAGATCAGAAATCGAATTATAGACTGTTTGGAGATTGTCTTTGGAGAAGTAAAGCACACGTGAAGGTAGTAGTTATGTTTTGTATGAAATTTTAATGTGTATGTTGTATAGTATGTGGTGAATATTATGTTACAATGTGTAATATTATTGGAAAGTGTTGAGTATAATATATTTTTAACTGTTAATGGAATTAGCATAACATAAAGAAATAAAAATATTATCTTATATTTAGTGAGGTGGACCAAGTTTCTCATCCAAATCCTGGTATGAGAAAATTCGGATTGCTTGTTTATTTTCATTTTCTTTGATATAGATGCCTCCGTGCCGCACCCAACAAAAACGAAATTTTTGTTTTTGAGCTCGAGATCTAGCTTCACGAAATAAATCACGATTTGCCCTCGTGAGCCGTTCATTAATGTAAAACTTCTGAGCAGGGCTTGGAGTAATCATCTCAGTAGTAACATTCTTTCTGGATCTAGCTGCTCTCACCAGCTCATCCCTTTTTTGGCGGCGCAAAAGTTTTACAACAATAGGACGTGACCTACTGACGACAGAGCTCGGAGACTTAGCGTCTTTGGAACGTTTAGGACCAACTCGACCAACTTCGTCCAGGTCAGCTTCAGTCAGTGAAACTCCGATTTTTTGGGATGCCAGCAATACTATGTGAGGTAGATTTTCATTATCTTCTTCGGGTATACCAATAATTTCTAGCTCATTTTTGATCAAGTTTTGATCCTGTGCAGTGACAAGTTGTTGGAGTTGGCCAACTGATGTTTTCAGAGCGGCGATTTCCAGGTCTTTATCTTGACAGATCCTTGCGCAATCTATAAGTCGTTCGTCTAGTGTTTTTGACAAAGCAGCTGATTGGGCCTTTATTTCTTGTCGTGCCTCATAAACTTCGTCACGTAATCGGCGAATTTCGGAGAATAAGTCGGCTACGCTGAAGTCGGTTTGGACGTTAGTCCCTTCTCCCCTGAGTTTGCTCCCTCTAGTTGTATTTACATTCTGACTTATAGAAAAAGTGTCATGAAGTGACATAGCCGACGAGCGAACTGGAGTACTTGTGTTATCACTTTTGGGCATGAGGCATAGACATGAAGGACAAAACCACTCATTTTTGTAATTTTGAGTGAATTTATTAAATTGCTCTTCTGTTATATTCAAACAAATTAAGTCATAAAGACAATGGCATTTGTGACATTCCATATATGACAGGCTATGTATATTCTTATTGCATCCACTGCAAGAAGTAGCCATACTTTTTGTTGTTAATATGTAATGCAATAAAACTGTAGGTAGTAAGTAGATGTCGACTGCGAAAGTGACTCACCGCTACGCTCCGACTCGGGCGCCGATGCACTTGTAGATGACAGTATCGAAGCAATGCGGCGTAGCTGTTATAAAATTAATTTGAAATGTTTCTTCTTATATCTTTACTAAGGTTGAGCGGATCGCCAGGAGAGTTTTACTACCAGGAAACTGGATTTATGCACTTTAATTTGATACCAAGAATTTTGAGTATATGTAACTTTTAATAATATTAAATGAATAAAAACTACGGAGTTAACTATATACATTATACTATGTAATGATGTAATACGTTATAATATAAATATAATAAAATTATTAATTTAGTTATTAACTAATAGAAAATTTTCCATAGTAGCACATTTTTTCTACCATGCTTCAACATGCAACTTAAAAGAAGAGGTTCTGGGAGTTTTTTTTTTTTTTATGGATGATAATGGAATGGCTCACCCGCCTGCGCTAACGGTTTACGCTGGCGGGGCACCAGTGGAGGATGATAAGATGAGCATTAGGTCAGGTCAGTTAGCCCATCGTGACAAATTCTCTAAGAATTTATCACGATGGTTTCCAGGGGGAACCGCGTGGAGGTCAACCTGACATGGTACATTGCTAGCAATGGGGTTATCAATCCACATTACTAACAATCCCTTCCCAACCAGGTTCTGGGAGTTGGACCTGCTCAACAAAGCACTGGCTTACTGCGAAAGGGACCCATCCTTTCCAAGCCCGACCAATTAGAAAGGGATATGCTATCTTACAATTAATCGCAAATACGTCAATCAGTTAAGACTGTTGAAGGAACATAATAAGTGCAGATATAATTTTATTTTTGTCTATAAATATCTATCAATCTGGAATAGTATACTGAAATATTAAAAGTATTTTAACATCCTGTCTTGGCCGGCGGTAATGACTTACAATCAGGTGAGCCGCAAGTTTTCTCCTCTATACTATAAAATTTGATTAAACAATATTCATGTTTAAAAATTAATTTTATTTCAATCAAAATGTACAATGATAACTAAGCAACAATAAAAATTAAAAGCACCATGTGATGGCTTGTTTAATGACTTTCTTTTATTTGGTTTTTTGGGCTATTGTCAAATGTTTGTTGTAGCACTGCGACTTACGTAGATCAAAACTTTTTTAGTCAAATTTAAATTCAAAAATCATATATTCATGTAAGACATTTTAGCAGCTTTTGAACGTCAAATTGTTTACATTATAATTAAAATTTTTCCCAGTTCAGTATATAGATCCAATTGAGAAGAACTGTCAAGAAACTCAATTGAATTACTTTTTTTTTTATAGATAGTGGCTATATGGATTTTTATATAGTTTTTTCGTTACGTGTACATGTATTTTCAAATTACCTGGTACATAACGCTCGTGACGTTGAAGTTTGTTGCTATCGTGGAAGGATCCTTGTCGAGTAGATAGTGAATGAAGCCGTAATCGACCGGTGGTACGGTCATGGTAAGTAGTCCGCCAAAACGCAGCAGTCGACGTTTTATTTCTTCTACTGACAACGTCCGATTACGATGATCCTTTGACCGTCTGTAAGGTTAAATAAAAATAGCTTTTATTCTATAATAATAATAAATAATATTACCGTTTGCAGTTACTAAGACGCAGTGAAACTGATAATAATCTCAGGACAATTCACACAGCGTTTAGTCCCAAGTTAAGCTAGCTATATCTCTAGATAACTGATACTCATACATATTTTATTTTCGTAAATGTTTACATATTATATGTAGAATAGACCCATACTCATGAATACATGTTTCTGCCGTGCGAGGAATCGAACCTGCGACTATAGGGAGTAAGGCGGTGCTAAACCGCTAGACCACCGAGGCCGTCACTGATGTTGCAAGAAACTGATTATATTCCGGTAACAGAAAATTAAGGCCCTCTCAGCATGTAGGTTTTCTTGATTTTAATTTGGTCATTACTGAGATTTGATTTTTAGCTACTGGAATGATGATTGGCTGTAAAAAAAAACTATTATGAATTTTTATGTAATTAATCAGATTTATGGAATATTAAAATTTATAGAAACATAAATTTTTAAAGACTAAAAATTTATTGTAATTACCCATAATTGCCCATATTTTCACATCAGTACTTGGCAGCTGAATTATAGGTAGACCTATCCGCGCAGATGACTTTGAAAACAGCAGAGTTTAAGGAACCCACGCAGACTGCTTTGAACAACGTATCTAATCTATTCCTTTTTTAAAAATTGATGCACTTACAGCCTCTCCGAATATTTCTGCAGCTCGCTCTTGCTGATCACGTTGTTGGAACACACTGCGAGTCCTGGGAAGGGTACTTCGCTTATTGGCCGTCCTTCAGGACGCATGCTGACTTGCAGCGGCGGGAGACTCCAGAACTGCTGGGTGGTGTACCCAACCATCGCCACGCCACCACACAGAATCAGCAGTAACACGACAATACCGACTGTCCTGCTTACACATCGATATTGGTAGTTTTTTTTAAGGATAATAATGAAATGGCACACCCGCCTGCGCTAACGATTTACGCTGGCGTCGCACCAGTGGAAGATGAAGTTAAGTAGTCAGGTCGGTTAGCCCACCGTGACAAATTCACCAAGAATTTATCACGATGGTTTCCAGCGTGAATTACGTGGAGGTCAATCTGACATGGTACATTGCTGGCAATTATCTACCTTAATCACAGCATCACACATGAGCGCTAGCAATGGCTAGCAATAAGATCATTAAGCCACATTACCACAATGCCCTCTCGGTTTTAGTAGTTTTTTATTTATTTATGATAATGGAATGGTGCGCCCGCCTGCGCTAACGGTTTACGCTGGCAGGACTCCAGTGGAAGATGATAAGACAATCATGACGTCATGTCAGTTAGCCCATCACGACAAATTCACTAAGAATTTATCACGATGATTTCCAGGATGAACCACGTGGTGGTCAACTTGACATGGTTCATTGCTAGGAATAAGATCATCTATTCTATTCTATTTTTCTATTTTATTACTTCATTGAATTAGTGCTAATCGGTGGTTTGTATTCACACACTTAAACTTAAATTGTAAGTAAGAATAAATTATTTAAAAGAGCAACACACAAGTTTCTTGCTTATTCTTCTTGTGATGAGACAGCATTACGAATGAGCGGTAGATTAAAAAAAAAATGTTATGACTATTCAAAAGTGCTTCAATGTAAGTTTATTTGAATAAATGATTTTCTATTCTATTCTATCAATCTACATTACTAATAATCCCCTTTCCTCCCGATTGTGGTAGTTAGCAGAAGACGTTTATAGTGAACTTTAAAAAATCTACATTTTATGGTAGGTTTTGACCCCCAACTTCATGTTGTGGAGGTCAAAACCTCCGATTTTATTCGATCCCCGTTTGACCAATTTAACTGATGGTCAGATGTTATTAGAAAGCTTACCGGCGCTTTGTGTCTACCATTAGCAAAAGATAAACACATGGAAAATGCAGTAAGACCTTTGTGTCTAAAGGACATGTTGAAATAAGGGCTGATGTCAATAATACCTACATTTGCATTCCTTTCCACGCTGTACCATGTTTGACAAACTAATAAATTGTGTACAATTTAAATCATCACAAGCAGCCCAGAACACTTTCAAGCCTGCCATGCTTTTTTTTTTATCTTGGACAGTTGCACAGTACCCGCTGTGAGACTCCAACTCACTAAGAACTCCAAGATAGCTCTCGTTCAACGCCATGTGCCGGAGTCGCAAGATCGAAACAGTCCACCGCGACTCCGACGGCGCTGGCCTACTGTACAGCGGGCCGCATCTCTGCGGGTTCACTATCAGAACCCACTACTTCCCCCTTCTTCCATGGGGAAGGCGCGCGGGGACATGCGCGCGACTTCTTCGGGCCTAGTGTGGTGGGGTGGAACCGCCTCCGCGGTGGTCACCCCGGCCCGGTAGCGATCTAGGGGCGACTTGCGCTGCCCCTGCCTCCCTGATTGCTATGGGAACTGACATCCATCCCCTCCTGGTTCTTGCTACCACGACCTGGTGCCTGAGTGGCCGGCCGTGTCAATCTCTTCCTCTTAGGCGCGGTGCACTTCTTGCTCCCCCCACCCAGTGGCCCGCCGGCCGACCCAGTAGGCCTGCCATGCCTCGGACAACTAACGAGGCATGGCTCAAAAATCCTAAAATGATTGATTCCGCGCGTGTCACTTTTATATTCATACTCTAATATTATCAATGCGATATATCTGTTTGATACCTTTTCATAATAAAACTGATGTACATGAGAACCGAACAGATCTACATGAGATTTGATAGGAAGATCAATCTTGAGATAAATCTTGTGTTCACACAAGGTTGGACTCAAGCTTTATCTGACAATACAGAAGTCATAAACCTAATAACACAAATAGTACTTGCCTCTTAGAAGTTAAATAGAAATAATTCTTCACCATCACGACAGTTTTCAATGAACAATGGCTCCAGTAGTCGTTCATGGAGTACGCCAGACTATTTCTAAGATGAGACTCTGTATTCCCATAACCCACTGTCTTATTTAACCCCCAAAAGGGTCTTCGTAGCCTCTTTTCCATAAACCAGGAGTCAGGGTCTACAGTCCTCATGCTAGGAGCTCTTTAAACGGCTATCTGTAGATATATAACTACAAAGTATTTCATATATTAATTAAAAGTGGTAAAAGTAATTGCATGCCCTAAACTAGACCCAGGTCTGACCACACGAAAGCAAGTTTTAATTTTCTGTACATACATAATTAATATATGATAATACTAACAGGGTGATCTGGTTGAGACATAGCAGAGCTTGTACTACGGTTTCAGTATACAACAATTTTTTTTTTTAATTTATTTAGACGATTTAAAGACGACCTCGGTAGTGTAGTCGTTTAGCACACCGCTTTACGTCCAATGGTCGCGGGTTCGATTCCTCGCACGGTACAAATTCATGAGTATGATTGTTTGTATCGGTCTGGGTGTTTTCTATGTATATTATGTATGTGTATGTATATTTACAAAAAAAAAGTATATATGTTATTATATCAGTAATCTACTAGATGGCGCTGTGTGAATTGTCCAAGGATATTACTGTTTACTTTTAAGTTTCCACGTTAGTTATAAGTTTATTTTCTAGATGAGATTAACAAGATGTCCGCGAGAATCAAGACAAATATT